AGTTGCTTAACAGCAACCCAGTCTAGGGTTGAGGGGTTTAGGGGTTTAGGACTCAGGGGTTTAGGATTCAGGGGTGCAAGCGATCGCGCCTGGTAGCTGCAGATTCTCGTTGACAGCGACTTCCTTTTCCACGGGCAGCGATGCGGCAAATCCTGGGCTAAGGAATGACTATCGGTAAGGAATCTCAGGGCCGGAATGGCTGGCAGCACGCACGTATGGTGAGTGCAGCTCTTGCCCAACTTGATTGTCCTTCGAACAATCTTGCATGCCCTCCTGAGTGTAAGGTGGTCTCTCAGGCACTTTACAGTCAATCCCAGTCGAATTTTGGAGCGGGCTCAGCCCTTTCTCTTTCCGCTTACGGCCGGAGAACATGTCCGGGTCATCTACGATTCTCCACTGCTGACCCATGGCAAGGAAGCGATTAACCTGATGTTCTTCACCCTTCTTAGTCAACGTATTGGCTAACTGAGCATCCGAGTGAACCCACCTAACACTTAAGCTAGTCTTATTTTGGGACTCTTTGATGGCCAACAGTTCAATATCAATACGCTTTTGGGCTCCCTTGGGGGTGATATACGGTTTTTCAACCCTATCATAAACGTTTCTGGAATCAGTGACCAAGACTCCGGGAACTTTCCGCACCTGGCCCTCTGGATCCCAGAGGTCTGCTTGATGCCCGCAGAATTCTGCCCACGCATATCTCAGCAAGAACAGATTGTCCTCGGCATCAATTGCAGCTCGAGCTTCTGCGGCTCCTGGAGAGCGGCACACCCGCTCTATCTTGCCTGATCTCCAGAACATGGGACTCACGCTGGTCACGGCGCCCTCCTGAATTTCGGACGGTGTCAGGCCTATGACAATGCCTGCTGTTGAGCTTCCATCTGGTCGGTTCTGGGAACTGGCATCTACCCAGGAAACCATGGAAAGCTTTGTCGTGTCCGGAAAAGCATGGATCCGAAGTGGAACCTTGCTGTCTATGCGAACCGCCTGCAGCAGCTTGTTAGCCTGTTCCAGGCTTTCCACTGTGCTGTGTGTCACCTCCGACAGTGACAGGCCCACATGTGCGCTGTACTTGAAGCCCACTTGGCCCACGTGCCAACTTAAGGCACCCAGAAGAGCCCTCAACTGTGACTTCTCCTGGTCGCTGGTGGCTTCATGCTTCTGACGACGTCGCTCCCTGCTGATGGAGATCGCGGGGATGGCCTCAACGTAGTGTCGTTGGTCCAGGTGGAAGCCACCATCTGGTTGCCTCTGAACCCTCACCCCGCACTGGGTGAAGTCATCCTTCTCCCACTCCTGCCATTCGAACTGTTTCTGGATCTGCTCCTTCAGGCGGTTCCATGTTGCACAGTCTTCTCGTCCTGTGAACAAAAAGTCATCGACATGACCACTGATCAAAGAGATGACTTTGGAGCCTTCGGTATAGATCCAAGTACAGGGGTCGCTGCGAAGCTGGCGGTAGCCGATGGATGATAAGAAACTGCTCAGCGTCTCGAACCACTCGATCGGCGCCTCCACCAATCCGTAACATGCCTTTTTCAGGCGGCACACGGATCCCGGGGGCAGTCCCATCCCCTCACACAGTTCAGGAACCGGCAGGCAGGTGAGGTTGCGCTGGTATTCTCTTCCTTGAAGAAACGCCCCGCTCACATCTCCTTTCCAGCATGTCATTTTCTGCCACGCGCAGTGCTGGAGAAGGAGCTGTCGGCTAGAGCGGGTCATCGTTGGCGCGAAGGTCGGCCGATTGGCGTACTCCGGGTCCTGGAACCCGAGTAATACGGCTCTCGCCTTCGGTTTGAGGCCATCGTGCTGTTTGTAGGTTAAGATCCAGCGCGTACGCAGAGCCTGAGAACGGTCAGGTTTCAGCTCCGGTGGCAAGGCCTCCATCGCCTTAGCCGCGATGAACTTGTGGACCTCAACGGACTTCGCCCCTCGAAAGTTCTCACGTTCTTGAGGCGTCATCCTCCTTTCAGACACCTCCACCGTTTTCCTCTTGAGGGACTTGATGAAGAACTGCGAGGGATCACGGATGAACTGTTCGAACTTCTTCTTTTCTTGGTGTTGGGCAGTGCCAAGGACACCTCCACCGCATGCTCCTGTGACTGCCAGAAGGTGCTCTCCTTCCTTGGCCACTGCAGGTCCTTCCGTGGGAAGTGGCTGGCTCTCGGCCTCCACTTCCACAAGTCGGGCCTCAGGTGGCACTCCTCGTCGGGCCGCTGGTGGTCCTGCAGCCTGGCCCATGGGCCTCTTATAAGACACCCGTACTCGCGATGTTGGAGGCGGCATCCTGTTCGAGTCATTGGGAATGAGTTCTGGCTCTGAATCCTCCATGTCCTCGGTGATGTCCGCGAATGAGCCACACCGATGATCCTGGCATGACCTTCCCGTCCTTCTGCTAAGTCTCCGTGGCAAGAATTCTCGCCGGTCCAGCATAGGCTCCATGTCTGAGTCCAGAACCATTGCTTTGCCGGTTCTTTCCCTGGAGACGCCAGAAGTAGACGACGTCGCCTGGCATGTACATGTTGTAGTCCTTGGTCCTTGAATTTCTGGCTCGCGCGAGCTTCTCGCTGTACTGCCAATCAATGAAGGACTTCTCGCTGTGTCTGCGAAGGCTCTCTGATCTTTGGAGCCCTCCTTCTGGGTGGTGGAGCAGGCTTCCTGGCAGCTTGTGGACGTCGGGGACAAACATCCGGTCCTCGAAGTCTGGAGCCTTTCCCAACATCCATTCATAGGAAGAGTAGCCACGAACTGGCTCACACTGGTTCCGCGTCCTGACTGCCTGTGCCAGGATAGCCTCGTGTGAGTGGGGGATTCTCTCCGGCGCACTTGGTCATGAGCTCCTTGATCCATTGTATGGACCTCTCTACCACACTGATCTTCCAACGGGCATCTGCCGGGATGTTGTCTGTCTCAATCCCCAGCTGCTGGAAGTGTTGGTCCAGTTCTTTAGAGCGGCAGGCCCCATCCGGGTCTGCCCTGATCAACTCAGGCAGGCCAAAACACGGCTCCCACACTTCATGAAAAGCAGATGTAATGTCATTAGCCGTTACATGGCCACCACCATCCTTGCGGAACAACTTGGCTACTGCAAAACGGCTTGCTTCATCCACAAAAACCATGAACTGGCACTTATTTCGTGTGTCTCCTGGACCAGGAGTCCAGTGTGCAGCGTCCATTTGGACAATCCTGCACTTTTCAGTACTTACTTCCAAGTTAGCCAGCCTACGGGGAATGGGTCTCCTACGTTCTTCGCAGGTGCTACACTTGAAGTCCTTAGCAAGTTCAAGAACACGGGGGTCCGCCTTTCGGGCCTCAAGGCTTTTGTACAGTGCTCGTAACTACCATGGCCCGTTGCCTTATGAAGGTGGTGTAATTGCCGAAGAACCTTGGCCTTCTCACAGGCTGAAAAGGGTTCCTTTGGGTCCTTCCGAACTGCAACCATCACCCCAGAGGTCTCAAGGCTCATTCCTAGACACCCCGGACAACTCCGGTGCGTCTTCCCTGAACCTGGAACACTGACAACCACCCCAGTCAACCCCATGAAGCTCTGGGAAGCTACGTTGTTGCTTTGCTTTGTTGTGGTGTTCAGGTCATGCGCTCCATCTCTGAGCATGTGATGAACGACTCTCTTAGCAAATTCAGGGCTGTAAAAGGCCGTCTTCGAGACGTCACTACCTTCCGCGTGAGCATGATGCTTTCTACAATGTTCTCCCGGACATGGCAACTGCGCTGCATGCGCAAACGAAGCAGAAGTACTCTCAATGCGCCACTCCTTTCCTAACAAGGCTTGCCCCGAATGGTCCCGAACATTCACCTGGCAACAGCTTATCACGGAAGTGTGAGTACCACAAACCTCCTGAAACTCCCTGAACAGACCCCACTTCCAAGCCCTACACCTACGGGCCCATTCCCAATGCACCGTAACCCCAAGCGCATGGGCGAACTGAGCAACAATCAAGGCCCCCACATGTTGAACTCTCTGTTCCCTACGCTTCTGGTGGAGACGAGCTTTTTGCTGTTCGTCGCGCTGGTTCAGGTTTTGCATTGGAGAATAAGCTGTGCATTCAGTGGCGATCCAAAGGTGTTCAGGGCGTTCAGACTGAACCAGCTGAAGCGATTTCCTAAGTCCAGCAACCGTAGACAAATCAAACCCGTTCCAAACACTGCAACGCTCAGCCCTTAAGCCCTGATTCTGGACCTCCTTGGTCAGCACAGACTCCTTGGAGCACGCCAACTCCATGAGAAACAAGTGCTCAGGGTCCCGAAGAGCCTTATACTGGTTACACACAAAATCCTTGGAACACCCGTCTAACAAACGACACTCAGAGGGGGTCAAACTACACCTAGAACCCAACTGGCTCTGCTCCCTGGCGCACTGGGGTCGCTCTAGACCCCGGAAAGGAGAAAACTTCACTCCTGCCGACGCATCTTCTCGTGCTTCGGCTCGTGGGTGGACTCCTGCGCCTCCTTGAGCGCACGGATCTCGGTCTGCATGGCCCTCATGGTTTTCAACAACTCTGCCGCATCCTCCGTTGTCATCGCCGCGCCGCTGCTGCTGGCCGCTGAGCTCGGGCCATTGGCCTGCTTCTTCTTGACGGACTCGGCCTGGTTGAGGTCGTTCTCGGGGATCTTGTACTGGTCGGATCGCCAAGATACTCTCCAGCTCGGCCCCGTGGCTGAGCTTTGTCTTGGTGACACGGCCCTTCATGTCGGAATCGAACGGTGAGTCGAGGTGTCCGTCCAGGACCGCCCATGTCACCAGCTGAACCAGCTGCCATCCCGCACTGGCGTTGCTGCTGGCTTCTTTCAAACCCCACTCGAGGTACTGCTTGTCCTCCTGGAGCACCTCCTGGAATGTCTTGCCTTGGTGCCTCCCAAAGGACACCGCCGTCTCGGGAGTGCCGCTGCGGTAGAGCCAGCGACGAAGGTGAAGACGAAGGTCTCCATGACTGATGTTGGCCGCATGGTTGATCTGGTGCTTCTGCGCAAAGACCTTGAGCTCGGCCAGTGTCCCCTTTTGGGTCTGCTGCATGAGGTCGTTCGGGTCGGAGGGGCCTCTCAGGCGTGGGACACCCTGTTGCGCTTCACCAGGGCTCGCAGCTCCACCACCGTGAGGCTGTCCGGCGCATCCACCCTGAACGAGAGGAGCTCCTGCACACACTCGGGCTTGGTGCACGCACTGGGTGCTTTGATTGATCGCCATGGTCAGCTGCGGGTTCAACGGACCTTGGGAGTGGCTCATGCTGGACGCCTTTGTCGAAGGAGGAGGCAGAGGTATTAGCTACGGGCCTACAGGTTTGAGGGCTAGAAACAACGCAAGACAAAACAACTTCACCCTGTTGATTGCCATGTTGGGTCACTGAATCCCTCATGCAAGTGGCCGCCGCTTGCAAGAAAACTTCACTGGGATTGCCTGTTTCACTTCGTTCGGCCTCACACTCAGGTACAGGCAGCCCTGAGCTGAGTCTGCCATCCTACTCCACGGGGATGCCAAGGCACCTCACTGGCGCCTGCAGTTGCCGCGCTCCCACCATAAAATCTTGTGCCAATGGCAAAACTTGATGACCAGTCACGGTCGTCTGCAACTTGACACGCTTACACGGGTCTATGGCCCCAAAAAATCACCTCATCCCGAGAGTAATCAACTATGGCCTGCAACCGCTTTAACGCGTCAATACTTAAAAGTACGGGAACACTACCTTTGTCTAATGCGTGTACTCGCAACTTCAGATTGCGGTCTGCAATCGGAAGCTGCAGCAGTACAGTTGACTGGCGTTGCTGACTCAGAGTCCGCGAACCCAAACGTGGGGCGGTCCTCAAGGTTCACCTCCGCCACGTTGTCCTGGGACTGGTGCTCAAAGCTGGCCTCTCTCGCCTGCTCCAAGGCCACCATGGATCCCATAGTGCGGTCGCGCCGCCATCCAGCACGCCGTAGCCCTTGAGCATG